CGTTCCTCAAATATAAAACCAACTAGCAGATCTTGTAGGTCTGTAGGCAGTGAAAGTAGCTTCTCTGGGGCTTCTAGGTTCTCCCAGCCCAACAGATACCCTGAAAACACCTTGCAGATGATTTTTTGTTTGTTTCCAAGCCTCAGTGCAAGGCAAAGTCTTCATTTATCTTCACTGCCTTTCCAGCTGGTGGCACACCAGGGCACTCGGATAGCGAAAGTCAGCATGGGCCGATTTCAGCCTGGTGCTCAGCATGAGGTTTGGAGGTTGTGCAATGGATCAGGACACAGCCACAAGTGAAATGCTACAAAGCCACCTTGTTCCGGGAAGCACTGACTCACTTGGGGAGGCTGAGCTGGCGGGGAAGGGCAGTATGCAGTTGTTACTGCTCCGACCAAGCGCATCATCTGACAGCATATTCCTATGACTTCACTCACAGCTTCCTTTTGTGGTTGCTTTCTGAAATCCCCTCGCATTTCGGGCTTTACCTCTTCTCCCAGGTCAGAGTCATCCCTGGGGGGCTGCTGCGCTTTTCCCACGGGGCTGCTGTTCCTACTCTGTCCGTGGCACATGAGGACCAAATGGCATTTTATCCATTTCACTTTCCTTGTTTTCATAAGCACTGGAGAGAAAAAACGATTTGGAAACAGCAAAACTTTCATGCTGTCATGCCTTGATTTAACTCCTAGTGCTTTTCTGCATTTATGGCCTCTGATCCTTCCTGGCAAAATTGATTTTGTGCAGTGGCAGAGAAAACATTAACAGCTGAGTTACTGAACCTTGATAAGCCTCAAGTGTTTGCTAGGCATAGCCTGCTCTGGATGGAGGTTTTCTTTACAGCTTTCTAAGCTGAGTGGTCTACTATTATTTGAAGGCAGTGAACCCCAGCGCAAGCTGATCCCAGCAGTGTGATTACGTTCAGGACTCTTGTCGTAATGGTGGCATCCAGACTTAATGGTGGGGCATTGGGTCAGTTTGCTTGCTGATTGCCACAGGATTTCTCCATCTGAAGTGTGGTGCTGCTCACTGTGATGCATCTTCCAGCATTTTTCCATCTGTTTTCCTTTCATAAAATTAGAAGAACCAGATGAAGTACAAATCGTTGAAATTAATTTGTCTTGTTAACAAAAACACACATTTAGAAGAAGCTAATAACTCATCCTAAACCCTGTCTATAAATTTTTCAAGGTACTAGCTCCAGGATAAACATCTAGACCTGACTGAGAGGTTTAGGATTCACTTAACTCATACACATGGGAAGAGGTATTGGTGAGACAGCAGCTCCATAACAACCTAAGCAGCCCGTGAAAACTACAAAGACCCCAGAGGTGCCTGTGATAGCCAGTCCTGTACGTCCATGTGCGTGTGTCTGACATACACTTGCACAGAGGTATCCCAGTGCTTCTACCTGTTTTTTTTTGCTCAAGGAACTTGGAGATGCCATCTCCTGTGTAGCAACCACCACAGCTGAAGCCAGGAGAGACCAGTGTAGACATATGGGGCAAAGCAGGGAGCTGGGAGGAGAGGGCTGACTGGTGAGAGGCTTTCACTGTGCTGAAGTGAGAGACTGGTCTAACACCAGCACACCTGTCAGCATGCTTGACAAGTGAGGCTGACTGTCTTCTGAGGTAACTCCAGCGGCAGGGATGCTGAGGCCTTCATGCATCTTCTGCTGGTGCAGATCAGGAGAGGACGTAGCTACTCGGGTTAGTGTTTGAGCATGGTGCTTGTTGCTTCTAGAGTTTTATTTAGCTGCAGGATGCTGGTAAGTGCTGAAGAAGATGTGTCTGACCTCCCTAGACCTTTTTCTTACTGCGGGGCTCTTTGGATGGCTGGCCCTCCCTAGCGTGTCTTTGCTGACCTGTCTGTGGTTTACACTCCTTGGTGGGAAGGGACTTTGGAGTCGTCAGCACAAGGTCAGGGTTGGTTGTGGCTCTCCTTATCAGATGTTGAAGACTTCCAGGCATGGAGCCATCTGCCTGCCCATCCCAGGCTGCACCTCTCTCCAGGGAAGTCTTTCCTCCTGTCCAATGTGACCCTCCATGGTTTAGTGCTTGTTGCCCTGTGCTGTATGGTCCACACCGACAAGGAGAATGGGGCTTTGTTGTCTCTGTAACTGCCCCACCAGGCTGTTGGCTGTAGGCTGTTGTTACACCTTCTCCCACCTCCACATCTTCAGACCATCCCAGCCCAGCACCTTTCCCCTCTCCTTCCAGGTCCTGGCTCCCAATATTTTGGTAGCCTCTGCTGGCTCTTTTCCAGCTTCTTCATGTTCCTTTTGAACTGAGGTCCCCAAAATGACATGGGATCTCAGTGGGGTCTACTCAGGGTGACAGCTTCCCTGGAGATCCTGCATCTCCTAGCATAGCTCTGTCCCAGTCAGTGCTGCCTCATCTTCAGCACAGTGTCCACTGTGACCCCAGACCTTTATCTGGGTTGACTTGCTGCTCAACCAGTGCTCAGCCCCAACCAAAATGCTGCCCGGGTTTATCTGCACCAGTGCAGGGCTTTGTCCTTATTATTATTGAACCTCCTCTGAGATTTCTCAAGCCCGGAGCAAAAGCTGTCTTCATTTTCAGGCACAGGAATGTTGCATGGCTGCATGTTCGAGGTGATCCAAAGGCTGTTCACCATATGGAGGTGGTGGCTCCTCTGGCTGCTTTTCCTCGAGATCTCCTCTTAGAAAAGCTGCAGAGGATTTTTGAAGGCCCCAAACATGCCCTGAGTGGCCTAATTATGCAACCCTCAGGTGAATGAGGAATCACCCAGATGTTATTTTGAGCGTCCTAAAAAGTCCCAAGTCAAAAAAATAATGTCAGAAGTGCCATGAAAGCAGAAAGTTGCAAGTGAAATACTAGGAATATGCCGTCATGCCTTAATTAAGCTGCATGCTGACATTTCCTGTACTATAAGCAGTGCCTGGAGCTTCCCCTTTTTAATTTGGTGCTTGGAAGCTTGTCTCTGATCAGCAGTTTTGACTCATGAGGTGTGGGAAGAGCACTGAAATGTTAGCTTGGATTAAAAAAACCCTTTCCTTCTCTAGGCAAATTGTTGACTTTCCTGTTCAGGAGGAAAGATTAAGTTCAGGAGAGGTTTGCAAAGTTGCTCAATTGATGTGAAACTCGTATATTTTTTGATTTGAGTCATTGTGGCTTATGTAGTGCGGGGAGCACTTGGTGGTGCATTCAGGGTGCACGGCAAGACCTCAGAAGTTAGGGGATTTAATGACTGAATGATTCTTTGTGGGCTTTTCTGTAATATTTCACTTTATTGCAAGTGTCAGTGATGCTGCCTGGTAATGAGTGTCATCACCTCCATTTCACGTACAGGAGGACAGGCAGAAGGGCAAAAGCCATCAGTGCTTGATGACTGAAGGGGCCAAACCTAAAATGCCTGCATCTGATTTTTCCAGAAGGCGTCCTGTATTATTCTCTTTTATAGTCTCAGGGGAGGTTTTTGTGGCTTTGATTTGCAAGTTACGAAGTTTAAAACTTCTGCAAATCAGAGGCCGCTGTCTCTGGCTGGTGATCCACAAGAAAAGGAACCCAAACCTTTTGGGCACCTGTGAAAACAGCCATTTGAGTAACTTTCTGTCCTCTGAGAACAGAAACCAAGGGTGACTTGAGGCGTTTTTTACTATGAGATTATGCTTTCCATCCTCCAAACAACAAAATCATACTTCCAGTCCTTTAGCTCCTGCCCCATTCTCTGCACCCCTTGCAGCACTGGAGATCAAAGTGAGTGTCCTACAAACTACAGGTGCAGGAGCAGTGGAGGGAAGATAGAGGAGAGGTTACTCAGTGAAGTGTGGGCTTTGACAGTGAATCTGACCAAAGAATTTCTCCTGCTTTTGCCTCTTAGCCACTTGTTCCCATTTCTGACCTCCTGTTCTTTGCTGTCCCTCAGCTGTGGTAGTGCATCTGTTTGCGTCACCTCGCAGAGCCTTTTTTAACGCCTTTTAGTTCCCTGAGTTGGCTCTCACCAGCATCCCCCAAGTGGCTGCACGGGTGCTGACAAGGGGTAGGCAACCGCTGTGCAGCTTCCCACGTAGGGATCCCTGTGCAGGAGGAAAGCCCTTTGCCCAACACAAGGGTGGGAGAGAAGCACCAGCTTGGGCCATGCCGAGCTCCTCAGTGCTGGCTTTCTATGCTGGATGTCCCTGTGTGGATCTCTCATGAAGGCAGAAACCATTAAACTTAGTTAAACTTAGTAAGTTTCACATGCTTAAGAGCAAAACTAAACCCCAAAATTCTTTTTGAGTACTGGACTTCTCACCAACACCTGGATGAGTCAGGAGTGGCTGACACTGCAGAGGCTGTGCTG